CCCTATATACAGTATATACAAAAACTGAAAACATTAAAAATAATCATTATAAAATAAATAATTCCCCTAAACATTTTATAATCTTTCATAGATGTGTGAGTACCTGATCAAACTGCAAATCAGAATCAGAACTGTGTGTTGGACAGATGTCAGTTCAGTTGTGGGCAATATTTTTCCACATGGTCACCTTTAGCTGCATGGTAATCAACTGTTTCATGAAGCGCAACAATTGCATCAGATTTGTTAATTGAAAACTTTCATGAATATTGCTCTTCTACTGAGTGAATTTATTTCATTTGATGGTTTAATTTTGCCCACTTATACGGTAAAAATGGGAGAAAAATGACTAGTCTAAAATACGTTTAGTGTGGAGGCGAGTTCAGGAGTTAAATATTTACAGTTTTCTGCTGTAACACCACTGTAACTCAATTTATTATGTTTATGTCATCACATTATGCAAAAAATGTACTATATCATCACATTATGTATATAAATGTAAATGTAGAAGAGGATGTCACAGCTTTAATTAATTAGAGTTTCAACTCTTAATCATTTTTATTAATACGGTGATAACTTTCTCAGCTGACTGATCAAGATACAGAGCCAAAACAGACCTGATTACAACAATTATATACAAAACTGAAATAAAATTAATTTTCAAACTCATGAAAGGAAGTTCACAAATATATAAAAGTGGGATTGGCACTTTTTGTTACATAAAAATGCCTTACAACTATTACAGTTTCTAATAAAGGAAACATCTCTTTCAACTTTACACAACTCTGAACAATATGTAGGTTTTTATGGATGGTGCAATTAATTTTTAAAACGGTCATTTTAGATGTCAAATTGTTGTATTTAAAGCAACTGGTTATATTGTTGTTGTTGGGTTTTGTGGAAAGGTGACTTTTAGATCTTTGAACGGCCTCAGTATGAAGAAATAAAAAGTGATTTTGATCTGATTAGAGGGACAACTTGCTACTCAAAGTCCAGTGTTAAAACATTACAGATTTTTTTGTTTATGAAACACTGTTCTTTTACACTGCGGTCAAGTTAGCATTTTATAGATATTTTGACAGAAATCTTGTGATATTCCTGTTGTTGGTGCTCCAGACTACATTGACAGCTAGCTGCTGCTAATATTTGTAAAATTTATCTTTAAATACCCAAGTTCAGGGCTTAATTTAAGCTGGATCCTGCCAGACCAGGATCTGGGAACTCTTATTTTGACAGAGTGTGTTCTGGTAACTGTTTGGATCCGTAACTCTCAGGCTTACTAATAATAAAGTTATGAACAAATATGATGGCCTTGAACAAATAAAATTTATATTAGATTAGTAAACAGAAAATAATTACATAAACACTAGTTTTAAACACAACAGGCACTCACGACTTCTTAATATCACATACGAGCTGCCTCTCCAAGTAAGCATTTCCACCTCTACCCTTAAAAAAAAATCCGGCCCTGCCCACGTTCTGTGAAATTGAGATCTATGTAAACAATTATTTCATTCCATTGCTGTTCACCTAAACCACTTGGAATTTGTAGAGACTGCAGGTGTTTTAAGACGGACAAAATCTGATTTAAAACCAACGGACTAGCTATTAGCTTGTCAGTTTGGTCAGGAATAACTCCATCCATCCATCCATCCATTATCTTTACCCGCTTATTCCATTTTGGGTCACGGGGGTCGCCGGTGCCCATGTCCAGCAATCACTGTGCGAGGGGCGGGGGACACCCTGGACGGGTCGCAAGTCCATCACAGGGCCACATAGAGACAAACGAGACAAACAAACATTCACTTTCTCATTCACACCTAGGGACAATTTAGAGTTACCAATCAGCCTAACATGCATGTTTTTGGACTGTGGGAGGAAACCGGAGCACCCGGAGAAAACCCACGCATGCACGGAGAGAACATGCAAACTCCACCCAGAAAGGCCCCTGGACTGGGGTTTGAACCAAGGACCTGCTCGCTGAGAGGCAGCAGCTCTACCAGTTGCGCCACCGTGCTGCCCTAGGAATAACCCTATTTCTCCAAAGTAAGAACAGTCAATGACCTGCTTACATAATGAAAGGCATTGTTTTTTATTAATTACTATTATTATTAAAAATATTATTTGTTCATGACTTTTTCAAATAATCAGGTAAGTACTTACTGAAATTTGTTTTAAAAAAATTCACTCAAAATGGAAATTTTAAACGGCTAACAAGTGACGGCAGCTAGCTTTGCAGCACGTGGGACTATATTCTTTAAAGTAACCTACTTAAATCAGCGAAAAATTAAAATGAACTTATTTGAAGCAAGATCATCTACAATCATTTTTTGTACCACAATACAAACAGCAGAATTCAGCTGAAACTTAACTTGAACTCTAACAACAGCTAAATACAGGCTAGCTAGATGAGATGAGCCAAGACTACAAACAGAAGTCTGTTGTCACAAAGAAGCACCAAAATTAACATAAAAAGCAAAATCCCTCCTTTATGTCACCAAATAAAATCCTTAATGAACACTTTAAAGTCTACTTTTTGAACTGATTTGAAACAATTTGCACATTTGTTACTAAATATGACAGTAGGCCTAGTATAAAAATTAAAACTTATCACCAACTTCATAATCAGTCTTGTCTCTTTAGTTAATCGTATCAGGTGTAAAAACATGATCCTTTCAAGAATGTTCACAGAAGAGTTAAATAAATTAGTCAGGAAATCTAAAATATATTGCCACTTTCTATCGAGTTTCAGTTTTTAACCTATTGGCATCAGAAACATTTGTAACGTGGAGGGGATCCACTTGTGTGGGGGGGTCTGGGGGTCCTCCCTCAGAAAATTTGAATAAAGTAGATGCCATTTCCTGCATTATGGTGTATTTTAACGGGTTGTTAAACATCTATGTTTACCTACATATGTAAAAATTTGATTCAATAACTATTTTAGAGAGCACGACATATGAAGTAGCCTGACCAACAGCTCTCCTTGTGTGAGCATGCTCCATATTGCTCACGCATCCTAACCGCCCCCCACCCCGGTGAACAACTGCCGGCATTATTGTGGTGCTTATCTAGCTCGCAACACAGAGGTGTCTCTCTCGCCTCGTCCTACCTGGTCAAATGACCTCGAGGAAGCACTGCATGCATTGTGGTTGTAGGTAACCAGGAAAACCCAGAGAATACATTTAGTGATTTGAGTATTCTCCTATTAATCAACTGGAATGGATTAGTTAACGTAGCAATAGAAACAGTGCTGGTTGAACTAATATTTCATGGTAAATGTGTGTGTGTGTGTGTGGGTGGGGGGGACATGTCCCCATCACATATAATTACCGCAATGCCTGTTTTAAACAACTGCTTTAGAATACTTTATATTATCGAAGCACCTTTTAAATAAAGAAACATTTATAAACAAACTACATATTTATATATGGTCAGAGTAAATCTATATAATAACTAGGTAATAACCTAGTACTAAATAGTAATTGCACCCTGCAGATGTTGGATGCTGTCTATCATGGTGCATTAAGATTCATAACTGGCTGTGATTATCATACCCACCACTGCACCCAGTATTCACAGGTTAACTGGTCATCATTAACTTCACGCAAACTCTCTCACTGGTACATTTTCATCTTTAAATCACTTCTTGGTTTGCTGCCTTCATACATCTCCTCCTACATGTCTCTGCGTGAGTGCAGCTACAGCGTGCGCTCTCAGGACATTATTACCTGCAGTGTTCCCTCAGTGCGGACTGAACTAGGCAAAAGGGCCTTCTCCTACTCCGCTCCTGTTTCCTGGAATATCTTACAAAAAGATCTGAAGCTCTCGACATTGACCTCTCTAAGTGGCTTTAAGAATCTGTTGGACTCCTGGCAGGGACCAATGCAGACATGTTCCTGTTTTTAGTTTTCTACATTCGCGTTATAATCTAGCTGTTTTTTGTTACTTTTTTTGCGATCTTATTTGTAAAAATAATAATAATAATCTGTATGCCTTTTTTGTGGCTGTCTATTGTTGTCGCTGTTGTCCATTGTTGTCATCTTTTTTTGTTGAAATCAGGTCTCTCTTGTAAATGAGTCCTCGAGGCTCAATGGGATTTACCTGTATAAATAAAGGTTGAATGAATTGGAAAGGAAATTCATGCCAGACTCAGAATATTGCAAGACTTTAATCATTTTTAGCATCTTGGCTGCTGTTTGGGTATTTAGTATGACCTCCTCTTTTGCTCATTTATTAAAATTATTCTAAGAAAAAGACAAATGTAAAAAAAATGTGTAGAGCATTAAAACCTGTTGTTATATTCCCTCCATAATTATAGTGTGAAATATTTGTGAAACATCTTTTTTCTCTCTGCTTTATGAAAAGCTTAAATATTGCATGCTAATAATAGTGATGGAGAATATTAAGAGCAAAAAGCTGCTGAACAAACTGATGATTGTAAACCTTCCCACCCCTCCTTCACACTCCACTCACCGTCTTCAGTGGGCACGTAGATGTTGAGGTAAAGGCAGTCCTCACTCTGGTTCTGAACGTAGGTTGCTGCAGCATCCAGGTTGTCTGTGAACCACACCGGTAGCATGATTTCAGGTAAGACACCGTGCACATTCTGGGGACACACAGGTGCAAACTGGGTAGCGTTGCGTATTTCCTGCCAGGAGCCCGGGGCTTCAGGGGGCTGGAAGCGCCGCTCACCGATGGGAGCTGTGGCATACGGCACACCTAAGAACTGTTCCACTGGGCCTAGGATCTCATTGTTGAGGTCCTTTTTGATGCCACGGACCTTTCCATAGCCGGTGGAAACTACGGGGTGTTTCAGGTCGACCCGCTGAGACGATGAGAGAGTCAGCTGAAGCACCAATCCCAGGAGCCACACCAGGCAGGGACTGGCAGCCTGCTGAGACACATTTAGTCGTCTCCTACCAGAGCCGTGGAGGCTGGCAGCACGGAACGGAAAACGAAACATTTCCAAAGTATATCGCAGGGACACAACCCAGGAGTAGACAGGGATCAAAACCCCAGGGGGTTATGGGGAAACCACAAAGGCAAAAATAGGAATGGTGAAGGGGGACCAGTTTTTAGTGCTTCTAAGGTGACATGGTGAGGTGGTGAGACAAGTAGCATTCTCCGTTAGACTCTGTGGTTTCATCCATCCTGTTTTTTAGAGCTCTGATTGGGTCCGGCCCAGCAGTCAGGACTCCAATTAAACCTGAAAGACACAGACGAGACACAGGGTTCAGTACGCGTTTGTGAACAGATTTACTCTGAGCAATGTGTTTTAAAAAGGCACAGGGAGATCAAAAAGGGTAAATTAACTTGACCCAAAATGAAGGGCCCACTACAGCTCAAGACTGTATGGATCTTTATATCAGTCTTTGAATCATTTCTACACACTTAAGCATTAACTTTAACATTTTGTCCGGCACAAGAGAAATTCTTTGTGTTAGGTTGAGATGCTTTGTTAATGTGACTGATTTTTTCTGGCTTCTGTCCAGTGTCGCTTAGATTAGAAAGAAAATGATTATGCTTCTGTTGCACATGATTGATGGTAAAACATAATAACTCCTAAATAAAGGGAGCATCTATGGATTTTTGTTAAGTTTTGTGTGTAAATCAGCAATTTAACAAATAAAGAACAAATTTCCTCAATGTAATATTTGGATTTGTGAATGTGGAAAGCCATATTTTGCAATAAAAAAATAAAAAAGTATACTATCCTCCACCAAAAATAAATACAGAAATAAATAAAATCTCCTTCAGAACATTGTGTTCTTCAAGCCACCTGTAAAGGTTCTCAAATAAAAACATGTAGAATGAATCAAAGTATTCACTGTATAAACCTAGCAACACACGCAACTATTAAAAATTCTAATTTTTCAGCTAATTGCAAAAGCATAAGTAAAACTAACCTCATTTGAGCCACAACTTAAAATGGATCAAGACAAGAAAATGTAATTGTGACACATACAAAACCAAAATAACAATATTAAAACTTTATTTACAGCCATAATCAGACAAACAATTAAAACTGTTATACTGTGTCTGCAAAATAAGAAACAGTATATGTTAGAGCAACATGCTTTTATATAATTCCATCCATCCATACATACATACTTTGTACATGCATCCATCCATACATCCATACATCTATACATCAATCATTTTTACCCGCTTCTTCCTTTTTGGGTCACAGGAGTTACTGGTGCCTTTACCTAGCAGTCACTGTCCAAGAGGTGGGGGACACTCTGGACAGGTTTCCAGTCCATCATAGAGACGCATAGAGACAACTGAAACAATCAACCATTCATTCTCTCACTCACACCTAGAGACAATTTAGAGTTACCAATCAGCCTAACATGCATGCTTTTGGTCTGTGGGAGGAAACCGGAGTACCCGGAGAAAACCCACGCATGCACGGAGAGAACATGCAAACTCCACCCAGAAAGGCCCCTGGACCGGGGTTTGAACCAAGGACCTGCTCGCTGAGAAGTAGCAGCTCTACCAGTTGCGCCACCGTGCTGCCCACCACCCCATTCATTTGAGGAAACTATACTTTTAAGCAATCTAAAAACTAGAAAGAATAGTTTCCTCAAAGGATTGAGGTGGTCAGTTTACTTGTATATATGGTGGTGGCCATCTTTGATTTTGACGTGGCAACCCAATTTTTGATAGGGACCTTTTTTATGCCTAAATGAGCAACACACCAAAATGGGAGTTGGCACGCTGCTTTTTCCAAGTTGTTCACCTCACAAAGTGTACACATATGCATTTATGTCAGCAGCCATCTGGATTTTGACCAGACAACCCAGTTTTCGAAAGGAACTTTTCTTACACATACAGTAGATGCAGTCAAACCAAAATGGAACCTCACTTATTTGTCAAGTTATTGTGTTCACAACATGAATGGATAGATATGCGGTTAGACATGGGTTCTTTCCAATTTACCTTTTTAATCCACGACGGGGGACAAAAACCTAACAAAAGAAGCTGTGATCCTTCTTGCAAAACAAAAGGTTTCAGTTTTCTCAGCTCTAAAATGTACACCTGTAGTCCTGATGCATGTTCAATAATCCAGGTAGAAAAATGTAAAAAAGTTAAGTCTGGTCTTCTGGACATTCCAAAAACGAAACAAAGCAAAACAAACAAACAAAAAAAAAGTAGAAACATTTCGTCTTTCATCCGAAAGACTTCTTCAGGTTCATCTGTAGTATTTTTTTTGTTTAAAGCATTCTTTTTCTACTTTTATACAGCATCAAATTTTTGGGAAACAAAGTAATTCTTGGCACAAGTGAAGATCTCATTTCATAAATGCTCCTCAGGAAAACTTTGTTGTAAATGTTTCAGTTTACATTTAATGGTATGTAAAGATGCTGTGTTGATGTCATTTTTTCCCAGCAACATCCCTATTTGTCTTAGATTATGTGAACCAAATCAACAAAAGTGGTTTGAGTATTACTCCTCACAGCATGTAAGAGGCGAACACACATCTGTTAGAGTCAAAGCTCGGAAACTCTTCAGGTATTAAAAGTACAAATACATTTGCAGTTGTGATTTTTTTTGTACCAATTTCAAATTTAGCCATGGGAACAAGCACCTGTCTGCCCCTGTTGCTTTAAGACAGCTTGCAGATGAAAGAACTTTATCCATTATGTTAGCCATTTCTTGTTTTATATACTGTATAGGATAATACTGACAGGCGGCATGGTGGCGCAGTTGGTAGAAATGCTGTCTCTTAGCAAAAAGGTCGGCAGTTCAAATCCCAGCTGGGGCCCTTTCTGGGTAGAGTTTGCATGTCCTCTCAGTGCATGCATGAGCTTTCTCCGTGTACTCCAGTTTCCTCCCACAGACCAAAAACATGCATGTTAGACTGATTGGTAACTGTAAATTGTCTCTAGGTGTGAGTGAGAGAGTGAATGTTGTTTGTCTCATTTGTCTCTATGTGTCCCTGTGATGGACAGGAGACCTGTCCAGAATGTCCCCCGCCTCTCACACAGTGATAGCTGGACATGGGCACCAGTGACCCCCATGACCCATAGAGGAAGAAGGGGGTAAGGTAAGGCAGGGAACACCCTGGACAGGTCTCCAGTCCATCATAGGAACACAGAGACAAACAACCATTCACTCTCTCTCTCACACCCAGAGACAATTTAACGTTACTAATTAACCTAACATGCATGTTGTTGATCTGTGGGAGAAAACCCACGTGTTAACTCCACCACGTCCTGCAATCTTCCCGCTGGCACGTGTCAGCTCTAACCTCTGCACCACCGTGTTTACAAATCATTGAATCATCTTCAGAAGTGAACAAACAAAAACCCTTAAGCGTCCCGGTTATCCTCTCCGGCGATCCACACGGTGTCATTTCCACACGGTGTCATTCACCGTTCCATCTCAGCTCAGTTCAGCTGCCTCTCACTTCCACATCATTACAGATGAATGGGCTGTGCTTATCTCAGCCTGGCTTTGGAAGACAACAGTTTGGGTGTGATAAAAGCTCTGCGTGGTGGCAGCTGCTGGTTAAATGCCACCTCATCCCCCCAACCTCGCTGTTTCCACAACTTCACTTCAAGCTGGCCAGCACAAGGAATCATGCTTAAATCGAGCAGGAAGACAGTGCGCAACATCTGGCATTGAGTAAAGTGGACGATCCCAGTGCAGCTCTGCTTCTTCAAAGTAATTGTTTTATTCAATAAATTCCTGTCAAAGAACAATATGTCTTTATGCTGCTGTGAGGAACTTAGAAGGAGTTGATGAAAACTGGACTCTTTAGCATAATGATTTTTATGGTGTAGTGCTCTATGAGGCTCTAAGAAAATAACGTTACATCTCCTCAGTAGTTTTACACAATTTCATGCAACTTCATGTGTAAGAGGTGCCATTATTGCTTGCTTTTTTATCCATCTTATTAAAGTTGTGTATCAGTAATGTATTCCTTGGAATACATGTATGTACTACATGAACATTGTTCACAATGCCAAATGGTTGTTGTAGCGAGTGTGCAGTGCCGTGCGAAAATATTCGGCCCCCTTGAACTTTTCAACATTTTACCACATTTCAGGCTTCAACCATAAAGATATAAAATGTAATTTTTTTGTGAGAATCAACAACAAGTGGGACACAATCATGAAGTGGAATGAAATTTATTGGATGTGTCAAACTTTTTTACAAATAAAAAACTGAAAAGTGGGGCGTGCAATATTATTCAGCCCCCTTGTGTTAATACTTTGTAGCGCCGCCTTTTGCTGCAGTTCCAGCTGCAAGTCTCTTGGGGTTTGTCTCTATCAGTTTTACACATGGAGACACTGAAATTCTTGCCCATTCTTTCTTGCAAAACAGCTCAAGCTCAGTGAGGTTGGATGGAGAGCGTTTGTGAACAGCAGTCTTCAGCTCTTTCCACAGATTATCGATTGGATTCAGGTCTGGACTTTGACTTGTCCATTCCAACACCTGGATACGTTCATTTGTGAACCATTCCATTGTTGATTTGGCTTTATGTTTTGGATCATTGTCTTGTTGGAAGATAAATCTCCGTCCCAGTCTCAGGTCTCTTGCAGACTCAAACAGGTTTTCTTCCAGAATGGTCCTGTATTTGGCCCCATCCATCTTCCCATCAATTCTGACCATCTTCCCTGTCCCTGCTGAAGAAAAGCAGGTTCAAACCATGATGCTGCCACCACCATGTTTGACAGTGGGGATGGTGTGTTCAGGGTGATGAGCTGTGTTGCTTTTATGCCAAACATATCATTTTGCACTGTGGCCAAACAGTTGGATTTTGGTTTCATCTGACCAGATCTTCTACATGTTTGGTGTGTCTCCCAGGTGCTTGTGGCAAACTTTAAACAACACTTTTTATGGATATCTTTGAGAAATGGCTTTCTTCTTGCCACTCTTCCATAAAGGTCAGATTTGTGCATTGTACGACTAATTGTTGTCCTATGGACAGACTCTCCCACCTCAGCTGTAGAT